ACAAATATTCACAAAGAATTAAGGAACGAATTCACCTGAGTTCAGAAGAAAATCTTAATCTGTCTCCTTTCAAGAATGTGATGATGATGATGATCTTTTCTCAAAGCATTTCAAAAACGTTTTTCTTCTTGGTTTCACAAAGAAAACTCTCCAAGAATGTCACAAAGACTTCACAAACACATTTTTCTAATTTTGATTCTCAGTTTTATCTTGTTCTGAAGTTTCAAAATGTTCAAACTATTTATAAGTTTTTCAGAACCCAGATAATCGATTATTTTAAAGAATAATCGATTATTTTGTTCTTCATGATTTCTGGAAATCAACCAAGAACAATTTAATCGATTATTTTGCTGGATAATCGATTATTTTGCTAGATAATCGATTATTCCAGAGATTCATTTCTGGGATAATTGATTATTTCACAAATAATCGATTATTGCAGCAAGGTATCCTTTTTACCTGTTGCTGGAATAATCGATTATATTTAATGAAAATCGATTATTTTGAGTTAGTTTTCAAAACTCTTTTTTAAGTCTCAAAATAACTTCTTAACCTTTTAAACTCATCATCATACACTCTCTTAATCAGATTAGACAAAGATTAGCTCATGCACAAAGCACACACAAAAAATAAACTCAACAAAGCAATTTATAAGCTATTCCTATTACATAACATTTTTCTTTGACTTTGTTTTTGACTTCTAAGTTGTTGATGTCCTTGGTCAGCTTTGTTTCACATATTTTTTATCATCAAAACCTTTAATCTCCAGAGGTGATCTCAACAATCTCCCCCAATCTCAACAAGAAACACTCTCGTGTAGATGATAAACTCGCAAATGCAAAATCCTTTGTTAAGCCAATCATGCAAAATTCTTAAGTGTCCAAAATAATGTTTTTATTAGATGAAGAAGAGTCTCCTTGTGAAAACGATTTTAAAATTTCTTCGTTCACACACACATTCAACCCCCCTTTCTGTGTGTTTTTCTTCTAACTTCACACCTAGTGTGGGCATTATTACGCCCAACGCTAAGGAGTCAAAGACCCCCTTATAACCAAGTCGCTCGACATGAATGAAGTCTGGCTCAATGACAAATCCTTCTCCAAAATGATACCAAATGGTACTAGGATAAACACCTCTTAACCAATGCAGAGAAGTCAAACCTCTTTAGAATCTCCAAGTCTAGCCTACCTCTCCCCCACCCAACGCAAAAAATTGGGTTCATTGTGCTCGACACATTTAAGGCTCTCCCACACTACCACTAATCATGCATTTTTTTTCTTCATAATTGTGACTTGTGCGATATAGAGTCCTCCAAACCCATCCTCATGTTGCCAAATGTCTCTTTTGTTAATTCAATTAGTAAAACACTTTACTAATACTTACAGGAAAACACAGAGTCATCAATTGGTTCAAATTCATCCAATAAATTCAAAACCTCAAATTATGCATACAACTCTAATCCTCAAAAAAACCCAAATTCATCCCCAAATCAATTAACTCAGGGTTCATACACGAAATACAAAGAAAAACCACAATTTAACATCCACATTTATGCATAAAATATCTACAAAAGTTAGATCACATAGCCTAAGAGGCTTAGGGGTCGCCTGACTACCCCTACTCCTAATCCTTATACATGCCCATGAATTCAACATCCTTAATCCCTTTTACATCGAGTGAGGATTCCATAGCAAAAATGTGTCCTCAGTAGCCTCAACTACTACTCCATACTCTCTCTAATGGCTTCCTCTAAGTTATCATCTACAAGTGCTCTCAGAGTTCAGAAAGATGCTTAAGGAAAACTTAACCTATATTTTTTTGTTTTCAATAAGTTTTCAAGTTGAGTTGAGAGTCTAGTCCAAAACTCTTCTCTTCACTTGCAACCCTTTTTCTATTTTATTTAATTTAATAAAAAAAATTATATTATAAACTCAATTAATTAAATGTCTATAATATAATTTTTTATTAACATCACTTATTTTATTATATTTATAAATTTTGAGATGTTACACTTTACCCGCTTTTATTTTCTTACCCATTTGTATTACTGACTTATTGTAACTATTTTAAATGAAATGCATTAAGTTATTTTCCTTTTAAAAAAAAAACTAAGTCAATTTCACAAAATTAAAATATAATTAGATTAAATATATTTTTAATAGAAAATCAATAAATTTTTGTTTTATTCTCTAATTTCTTTCAATGATTCATCCATGTAAAATTTGAAATTAGTGTTTTTGGTTCTCGTAAAATAAATTAATTTTACAATATTAATCAATGCAAAACTAGTTACAAATTAAATTGTGTTTGTAAGAGAATTTATGCCTAGGTAACCCAATTTAGTCCCATGGCAAGCCTAAGTACATAAGAAACTTGCGAAAATAACAAAAAGTTCAATTCAATTGGAAGTTTATCATTTTATAATCAATTGTATTAGGAATTTTCAAACAAATAAAATAAAAAGTTAGCCCAAAAAAACAAATAAAATAAAAATGATGATGAAGTGTGACGTCAGCATTAGCGTTAAATGGATAGGGTCTTCTCGGTCACCATAATTTAATAAAATAGCCTGATATCTTGAGATGTATGTCGCCATTTCTTCTTAGCCATATAACACTAAAATGGCTTTGAATCCCGCAACTTAATTATCAAATTTTAGTACGACCACGACTTTATTTAGATAAAAATACTTGCAAAATGTTATTTGTTGTTAATAAACATATAAGAATTATTTATATATGTAAATAAATATAGTTTCAATAATGTTTTTGGACTATTTATATAAGCAATTGTTGGGAAAAAGCATACTTTCTTTTTTCTTTGGACAACAATAAGATAACACACAAAAACAATTATCATAAAAAAAATAATAAAATATTTTAAATTTTCTTAATGTGATTCACCTTGTCGTACTTATGTCCAAGAAAATAACTCAACAGTAATAACAAATACGGTTGAATTTGACTCTTTTAGTGAGACCATGTATTTTAAAGAATAAAATGTATTGACAATTGTTCATCATAAATTTTTTTTTTATATAAAATGGTAGAGAGAATATCGAAAAAAACATGTTAATGCACTTTGGACAAGCTAAGTATGAACATGAATTTTATCAACTTTAGAAAAAGAGAAGGCCACGTTGCCATGTGGAAGTGGAAGCAATCATGTTATTTGTAGGACATGATTAAACCAACAACAAAGTAATCTGAAAAGCGTTTCCCACTATTCTCACCAACCCCACTAAGATGGTGCGAATGCAATGTATATATATGTACCAAGTTCCAAATGAACTTCATTACTTGTATGTTCTGACAGAGAGAGTGAAAATCCTCTACCAGTTTCACTGCATATAAAATATGAGAACGCATATTGATGATACTGCATCTGGGAAGAATCAACATCTTCTAATGCTTAAGCTTTTTGATTCGTCTCTGAGGCTCTGTGCAGTTCCTCTATCAGTTGCAACCATATGGATTACTGTGACTAACCAGCAGGACAACAGCAGCTATGGAATGTTGAAATATAATAACCTCTCTGGTCTCAAGTAAGAAACCACATTATGTTTCTCACTTAATTTTCAGCCACTGGTTTTCTCAAACTCATTGCAGATCAGAAAAGTAAATTGTACAAATTGTTTATCACAGGTATATGGTTTTAGTCAGTGCCCTCTGTGCTTCTTATGCTCTTGTTGCTGCAGCTTGCTCTTGGGTCAGATACTTTGTATCCAAAGCTTGGATTTTCTTTGTATCTGATCAGGTTTGATGCTTTTTGTTTACCTTTAATTTCTTTCATAAGGGAAACAAGGAAACAAGCATTAAATTTAGGGAACTTAACCTCCATGTTCTTAGGTTCAAACTGTGGTGTCATCGTTATAATTCTTATGAATAAAAAAACTTGTTAAAAATGGTACCAAGAGGACACTTTTCCTTAAGGATATTAAGAAGAATAACTATGATCATGAATTGGTTTGGTTTCTATTGCTTTTTTCTGATGAAGCTCCTAGGCTGTTTTGGGTATCTTATTTCTTTTACTAAAATAGAATAGTTTACACCTATTTTAGATCTTTTATATAGCCATACTATTAGCTTTTAGGATCTTTCGTCTTATTAACATATTTACAACTGATCCTTCTTACAGATTGTAGCATACTTAACGATCACATCAGTTGCTGCAGTAATGGAGATATATTACCTGGCTTACAATGGTGCTAAGGAAGATTCTTGGAGCCAAGCTTGCAGCTCCTATGGCAGGTTTTGCAGCAAAGTGAAGCTGGTTTTGATACTCCATGTGATCACATTTTTTTGCTTCTTTTTTTTAGCTGTGATTTCAGCTTTTAGAGCGTTTAGTGTCTTTGATCCTCCTTATGACAACTCTCAAGAGGTGGAGGGAGATAGAGATTAATCAGGATTGCTCTTTTGGATTTTGAAGGGGACTTTTGTCTTTGTGATGGTAATTCTCATACTAAGATTGCAAATATAATAATATATGGCAAAAAAATATTCATTTTGCTTCTTAAAACTCAATATGAACCCTTCAATAAATTTTGGTATCCGTTTTGCTTGAAGTATGACTTACTTGTGCTGATTTTTTTTCTCTACAATATCGACAAGGAGATTAGAACTAAAAATCTCATGTCACCAACTTTAATGAGTATTTTTACTGTGTTGAACCTGACCCAAAGAAATTTTGTAGTTAAGCCAAAAAACATAAAACAGAAAAGAAAGAAAACAGAGGATAGATGGATAAGAGAAGGCTTCTATTGTCTTACTCTACGCATTCATGTATATAAGATGAATGAATGCAATTATTATTTTTAGTATGATTTTGGTGCACCATAACCTTAAAATGTTTTGCACATAAATCAGTCCTTGGGAGACTGATATATCGTACTCATAATTAAGGGTCTTAACTTCAAGTATTTAAGAGTGCAGTTGCATTGATTACATGTTCAATTTAGAGTCTAAATGCTGGTACCCTTAAAAATAACTATTTATAGTTTTGCATTAGGTGTAGTTCTTATCTTAGCTGTCTCGTTGTACGTGATTTTAAGGCCATGATCTTGCGGTGATTGTCTGAAAGGAATTAATTTAATAAATAAAATGATATATTAAAATCTACCGCGTATGGATTATTATTATTATAATAATAATAATAAATTAATTTTTTTATCACATGAGAATTAATTTCCTTCAAAAATTTGACAGATATCAAATAAATAAACATTTTTTCTGAATCTATATATTTATTTTATTAGAACATAATTTTTATTTTTTAAAATATATTATTTTTTTAGATAAAAAATTATGTATATGTCAAATAGTAGTGAGGGCAAGTGCCTCACTATTCCAAACGTGCAGCTGTCGCTGTATATATATGTATGTGTGTGTATATATATATATATATATA